TCTTTTGCCTTAGACCACCCAAGCTCTACTTACCTGATGGCCTATAAGTTATAGTCAGTAAATATAATCAAAACAGTTGTAAATATAAAGACCTCTCCAGTGAGAAGATGGAACATGATATTTTCTAATTTTCAAGTTTATATATAAGAAATACAATGCTCTCTCTATCGCTCAGAATAATACCATCATCACAATAATATCCTTTAATTCTTCTTTTACTTTTCCCAGATATACACTTCTGTGGTGGGTCTGAAGGCTACCCTACTAAGACGGATAATTTTATAGGGGTGAAAGAAGGCCCCTGCCCTCAGAAATATTCATTCTTGGATCTATGTCTAAGTATCATTTGCTCTTACAAGTTCGCAGTTTTCTCATCTTTATTTAAGAGAGAGAGAATGAGTGGGATGGCAGAGGGAGAGGGAGAGAGAACCCGAAGCAGACTCCATGCTGAGCACAGAGCCCACTGCAGGGCTGGATCTCATGACCCTGAGCTCATGACCTGAGCCAAAATCGAGAGTCAGATGCATAACCAATTGAGACACCCAGGTGCCCCTCAGTTTTCTTATCTTTACAACAGAGCAGCTTAAATAAAATTTCCCTGAGTTACATTCGCATTTGAAAATCCTTAACTTGAAAATGATTAAATAAAACAATTGAAAATATGGAAATTAGAAACATAGTAAAAATTGGTATTGTAAAGACATGACAAGGTTTTAAGAGATGACTTTTCCTGAGTTAACATTGTTTGAAAACGAAATGTTCAAAAGGACTAATTATGTCCAAAGAGACATGGCTGTACTCCTGACCCAATACACAACAGCACGATCTGGTGATGGCTTGGGGATCCCTGACACTTTGCTGCCCCCTCATGTTTCAACACACTCTTGAGTTCTATTCTTTATTGCCCCTCAAGGATCTATGCAGGTGAGCCTTCCTCTAAGTAATAGAAGGATTCCCAAAAATATTCTGTTGTTACCATTTAAAAACAATCATAAATGAAATGTTCCAGAGAAGCTGACACGGCATCACTGTCTTCCTCCTCTACCCTCTGTTTTCAAATTAGCTTTAAGAACAACATCAAAAATGCCAAGCACGGATCAGTGTTATAGGAAGAAGCACTTGGTAAGTTACTCATAACCTGCTGACTTCTGGTGTTTGTCTAACTTATCTCCCTGAGTTTCTTCCACAGCACTGAGAGCTAGCTAATCATGGCCCCATTCTTCAAATGAGGGAGATAGGCTTTGCACTCCAGCTCCAAATGCTACACACCCTGTTTCTGTTACATCATAATAAAGAACAAAACAGCTATTTAGTATTAAGACTCTTTTATAAATGTACATTTGGAAATGGTGAGATCATTTTAGAACTATGTATTTACCTATTAGGTATGGGAAAAAACCTGCCAAGTGATTTACACGCATTAACTCTAATGATACAAAATCAAACTCTCCTAGCTTTAAAACATATCAATTGGAATAACCTCAAAAGGGAAAAGGGTATTCTAAGTTCTATGGAAGAAAACTTTAGAAAACAAGCATGACATACGGAGACCGTCAAAGTTCTTACCTCTTCTTTAAAAAAAAAAAAAAATCAGTTGATTTATGGAAAAGTTAAAGAGAGTTCACTATTTCCCTTCAAAGAGCTATGACTCCAATGTAAGTTCTTAAATTTTGAAAATGATTCTGAACCACACTTTCCTGCCCAGATCACAAAAGCACCGATATCTGTGGCAGTGAGGAGAGGAAGAGAGAGAGCACTGGGGGCAATGGGAGGGCCCGTTTTTGACAGGCACCAAGGAAATATGTCCCTTTTGACCATTTGTGGGGAGCTCCATATTTGCAGCTCCCCTGCAACCTCTCATTCTTTCCTTTCTTCATCTCTCTACCCTTTTCTTTCCATCATTCCTAGTTCTACATCAAGAGAATAAAGACAAGGGCAAAGTGAAAGAGAAAATGATGCACTGAGTACTTACTCTGTGAAGCACTATGCTAAGAGAATCCACATGTGAACTCATTTAATTTGGCAATAAGTGTATGACATATGATAACCAATTTATAAATTGGGAAACTGAGGCAGAGAAAGGTATGTGGTCTGCCCATGGCCAAGCAGCCATCATGGTAGAGCACAATTTGAATTCTAGATAGGTAGAGCACCCACGCTGCACAATTCCAGGGACTTCCGTCAGTGATGTTCTACAGGGTTGCCCCCCAGGGACCCTTGGAGCTGTCTCCACAGTGGCCTTTTGGACCCCCTCATGGACTTTGCCATGTGCTATACTTTTCCTCTAGATCCTCAACAAAACATTGAAGAAGGTCAAGTTCATCATATGGGATGCCCCACTGACTCTTTTTTATTTTTTATTTTTATTTATTTATTTATTTATTTTTAAAGATTTATTTATTTATTTGACAGACAGACATCACAAGTAGGCAGGGAGGCAGGCAGAGAGGGGTGGGGGGGGGAAGCAGGCTCCCCGCTGAGCAGAGAGCCATATGTGGGGCTCGATCCCAGGACCCTGGGATCAGGACCTGAGCTGAAGGCAGAGGTTTTAACCCACTGAGCCACCCAGGTGCCCCCCCAATGACTCTTTTTAACACTCTTCCCTACCCTTCCCAGGACTGCCATAGAGTACGTGTAGGGGGGTTCCAACAATAGGGAGAGTGAACATGGCAGGTAGGACCTGAACAGTTAGGTGCTGAGGGAGGGAATTTACTTTTCTGTGTCTCACCTTTTACTTCTGTTGAAGTAAAAGGGGCCCACTTTCCCAGAATGCGCTCAGAGAAAGGAATCTTTCCCTTTTATTGCCTTCATCGCCATACCCTCCATTTCACTTTTCCACCTTGGTTCGCTAGACTGGGGTAAGGAAAAAGACTTCCATTTTCTAGCTAATTTCCTGGTGTGTTTTGTGATGAACACAGCCACATGAAGCAGTTAATGACACTTAATTAGCTTCCTTTCCTAGGTAAGATATTTCTTTTTTTTTTCTTTTTTTCTTTTTTTTTTTTTTTTTAATAAACATATAATGTGTTTTTATCCCTGGGGTACAGGTCTGTGAATCGTCAGGTTTACACATCTAAGTAAGATATTTCTGTAGCCCCATTGTCCCTAGGCCCCAGGTCAGAAGCTTGTGGGTACAAATGAGGCCATGTTAACCTTAATTCCCAGATTTCAGTTCCCTCTGGTATTGTTCCTGGGCTTCAATACTATGTGAACATTTCTGGGAGCTTCTAGAGGGTCTCTCATATGTGTTTAAGACAAAGTCTGTGCCCTTGGAGTGCAATTACTCTCCATTTAATCACTTCCAGGCATCTGCCAGGGTGGCTGGACAGCTTCCTGGACCGCTGACCACCCACCACTTCTTGATGGACACAACCATCTCCACTGGGACCTGCAGCTGCTCTTCAGGGAGGATGCTCCTGGGGGGCTGGCTCCTATGTGACCTCAAGCTACAAAAGCTTTCAGGAACCAAAATAGCACCACATTCTGCTCAAACCACAATGTCAGAGTCCTGCCTATGGCAAAAATAGCAGGGGTGGGAGGATGGCCCCTCCTCATCAGGGGTCAGATATAGGGCCCAGAGCACGGATGGGGACGGGCTTGCATGCAGTCTCTCACACTACAGTATCCAGCTGTCTGCCTACAAAGATTGGCCTGCTTGTCCCTCAACATAGAAGTCAAGTGTACAGAGACAAAGCCATTCACTTCTACAGCCCTATCTCAGTGTAGGCTAGGCTCATTGACACTGAATTTGGCTTTCTGCAAAGAAATTTGTTAGTCAAAGAACTTATTCTGATATATAGGAACTTTAGTTATTGTCCATCTCTCAACCAATGACAAAGAAGAAAACTGGTGAACCAGGCATACACCATGAAATGACAGTGGAAAATCATTACCAATAAGGTCTTGAAAGATAACCACGGGAAAGAGAATAAACAATTTAATATTCATTGAAGTACAAATCCTACTCAAGAGACACTACAAAAAGAACTACATTACCAACTATTCCAGAATCAACTCTGAGGTAGTGACCACAAAGGAGACCAGAGGAAAAGTGCTGACCTGGACAGTGAAGTTAACTTTCAAGCAAAGTTTTCTCACTAATAACTTAATGAGGAGCTCTCAGAATATTCTGAATTGGAGTCCAAGGAAGGCACTTGAATCAAATGAAGTATTGGTCTAATTTGGAGACTATGTTAATTTTCTTCTGGTGTTAATTCTAGAAAACATAGGTTTGCTTTCCCAGGCAATTATTTTAATGAATCAATTGGGGTTTCAAGAAATGATTAAATGATTTCAATTTGGTTTCAGGTTCAGCAAAATGAGATCATTGTTCTGTTTTTGGTTCTGTTGAGGTCAAGTCCTGTGTCCAAAATAGACTAATAGGAATCAGGACAAATTTTTTTTTTTTTTTCTCTTTATGTCCATCGTCCTCCCTTCCCCTCCTCTTCTCTAAACATCTGTTCTTTTGATCTCACTGAACTTTGCTATGTTGTATAATTACTTCTTCTCTCCCCTCTCAAAGTAAAGTTCTTCTCAATTCCGAGTCCCAATCAGAACTATTGGAATGGGGTTCCTTCTTACACACAACTGGGATATCAATTAACAAGGAATGTCCCTTTTATTTATGCTTTCACTTTCATTAAACCAAACTACCACACGTTAATATCATGCTGGTAGCATAAGCCTGGAAACAACACAGTCAACATTTGGAAGGTAACACTATCTCTTAAAATACAAATGCCCAGAGCAATGTTAAACTTAGCACAAGCACAGAATTAAATGGTTTTAAAAAATGGCACATCAGTAAAGATTTCCCAAGTAATAGCTTTAAATGGACAACTTTTGGGCTCAATGAGACAAATGATAATAGAGAGAAAAAGGATCAATTTCTTTAAAATTATAGAATTGCAATATAAAATTGGTGCTAGTCTTATGCTGAACCTTGGAAGGTAGGGTTTCTTGCTAGATGTAATAAGAGTAAGCTACTAGATCTTCCTTACCTGTTATGGTGGCTTTGTTGATGGATGGTTGGTTGCACATGGGTGATCTTCTGACAGAGAGAGAAAAGTACGAAGCAGTAAATACGTGGTGCATGCTAACTGGAGGACTCTCTGAGTCATTTCACATATGTCATTTTAATTTAAAGAATTATTTTTAAGCTAGGACATCCAAAAGAAGACTTCTTTCAGACTAGCCACTTAAGTTCCCAGGCACCCTTTGCTCTACAGTTCAGATCATACATGTCAAAGAAGAAAACAGTTAAATCTCACAGTGATAGACTTCTGGGGAAATAAAGCTAAAGTAAATGTCAAAGGGACATGACAGAGGAGGACGTTCCTACTGACTGACTGGGTTCCCTTAAACCAGGGCTTACAGAGCAAACACAGACTCGGTGAATCCAAAAAAGTCAATCTACAAGTCGTTTCCCAATTATGGTGGTGAGAAACTTTTATTTTTGGCACAAATTCTCAGAAGTGAATGACTCCTTGTAAACTGTATTACAATTAGAGAAGTCATTGAAACCTTTTCCTTTCTCTTTCCTCACACTGAGAACCATCTCCGATGCATTTGTTAGAGCGGTATATTAATGCTTTGTCCAAATAGATGCTACAGAGGCTTTAGAAATACTATAAACTAAAGGTACTTAAAAGATTCTATCTTTTGTTCTCTAAGTTTTCAGATGTTTCCCAAGTTTCACAAGGTGATTATAAACCCCTTGACCTAAAAAGCCCCTGCTATAAAACTAACGTATTCTCTACAGAGGCTAGAGCAATGTATCCAGTATTCAATCAATGCTTAATAAATTTATTGAAAAGAATATACCTTACAAAATGCAACTTTAGAAAGTTGTTCCTTACAATTGGGAGCTTTAAAAATATTGCACAGTGATCTTTTACACTTACGCAGCACTTACTAAACACTTACTGTGTGTCAGACAGTGTGCTAAGTGAACACTTAAGATGGATATTCTACTTTGATCCTCAGAAGAAAGCTTAAGGCAAGTAAACTCACTGTTTCAATTTTACCAGTGAGGAAAATAAAGCTTGGGAAGTTGAATCACTTGTTCAGAGCAAGAGAGCTGAGATGTGAACTAAAGCAGTGGGATTCCAGGGCCAGCGCTCTGCTATACTGTCTTACTTTCAGGATGTTTTTGGAGAAACTGGACTAACAGCCACAGATCTGTGCAAATGGCAGGCCCCTGCAAAGCCGTGTGCACACCTACTCTTCTGAAATGACAAATCTCTTGACTGGGAAATGCAATCTAGTATTTTGTAAATTCTCACTGCCTTGGTTCCAGTCAGTATCTGGCTCTGTCTTATTGCTCTTAAGTTCATTGATGTCAGTTTGGGACTGAAGTTTTTGTGTTTGACTGGAAATGCGTCAAAGTTGATTATGAAATTATTTTAGTTTTTATTAGTGAATGAGATAAGGAAATTTGAAACTTGATTAACGCTTCATAAAACAGGAAGGTTAATGCTTTAAATTGCTACTCTGAAATAGATCTGATCTCTATATAATATAGTTATCTTGCTGAGAGTGTATTATTTAAATAGTTTATAGCTTAATTTAGTTCTTGCTCTGTGACAATTTAGGAAACATTTTATCTGAAAACAGTATCAAATGAACAGCCCTAAACTTTTCTACTATTTTGGAAAACCAAATTATTGACTTATTGTTTGTTACCTCCTCTTAATGTCAATCCTACAACCTGGGGACTTGATATTTCAACATGCAATGACAAGCAGAAAATATTAATCGTTTGATTTTATGAAGAACAAACCAGAACTCATTCTGGAATTGAAAATCTCAAAGGCATGAAAGAGGAAGGTGACAGGTTCCAATAGTAAGCTAGCAAAGTCAGCAACGTGCATTTGAGTACCCACAGGTGCTAGGCTTTGCTTGCATTCTTCCTGAACGGACTCCTTTCCTTGAGCAAACAAAAAGGGTGGATTGTGCAAGGTAGCACATGCCTCCCATAAAATCCATGGGTCAGCTTGGAAACGTTTTAGTGGCGCTGTAAGTATCCAGCAGGGAAAATTCTGATACCCTCATGGTCATCATGTGATGGCCCAGAGTTATAACCATTTCACCGTTACTGAGCACAGCAGAGTTTAACTGTGTGTATACTGAATCCTACTATTCCGATACCTAAAGAGGTTGGCTTGATTTGAATCAGTAAAGGAGGTACGAATCTGCATTAACACAAAGAGAGACCACAAAGGCCTTTACTTAGAGTCTATCAGCGATTATTTTTTGGTTAGATGTCACTGGGCATACAGTAAGTCAAATTTAGGCATAAACTATGGGTTTCTATCCTCCTCTAGCTGGTCTTTTCCCTCTAAAATCTGTCTTGTCATTGTAAATCAGTTGAAAACTGTTGTTTTACAAGGAATGGGCTGTAAGTCATCTCTTCAGAGACAGAAGGCCAGGGTGATGCCTTCACACCTGTCTGGTCAACTGCTTGCCTGCCACAGGTTTAGATGCTGACACCCACGTGACCATGTCTGAAAGAAGTGTAAAGGCATTATACAGTTTCTTGTTTGCCTTTTAAAGGTCTTGACTGAATTTCCTGGATATTTGGGACTGAAAAGTTTGGGAGTGACACCAGTAATCTCATGCCTCCTGTGAGGCTGAGACTTTGTAAAGAGGAGGGGACCTTACTTACAAGTTACCGAATGCCAAAAGCCCCACAAGGATGTTGAGGTCAGGGTGGTATTTTATGGCCATGGAGCACAGAAGACATGTTTGGTAATGAACAAGTACCTCAAGTGCACCCTCCAATTCCACGTGCTACATTATCAGTTCGCTCTTCCAGCCAACAAGCACATGCAGAGTGATTTCTCTGTGCTGGGTATTATGCTAGGCACTTGGGCTACACATGTGAGGCTCACCGCAGACGGACGTTCTTTTTTTTTTTTTTTTCCAGACGGACGTTCTTAAGGTGCACTTGGACAAGTAAGTAGGCATGCAGAGCACAGAGGGATCTATGTTTTAACATAGGAGCTGGGTGAAGGATGTAATCAGACAGAGATGTAAAGGCATACCGTCAAGTTTGGGACCTGTGGAAATGAGTGTATGTTGGATGTCAGTCAGGGATGACGGTCCCAAATAAATTATATTTAATATGCGACTTAAAGAATGAATTATAGTTACTCCAATGGGTGGGGTTAGGGTGGAGAGAAGAAGGTGAGAAATGTTGAAACTGAGGAAACGGGACTGCAAATGTTCATTACCTGGAAAAAATGACAAGTGACTGAAGCTTCTGGGTCCCATTTGAATTATTTGCATGGTGGCTTTTATATCGACTTTTTAGAAACCTTTTCTATCACAGGAAAAGCAGCATAATGGTCAAAGCTTTTTTTAATCATGGAAAATGTGAATTGGGGAGGTCAATTACATTATTATGGGATAGAAGGTTCAGATTTTTCATATTCTTTTATACACTTAGATAAGTTATAATTCTGAATAAATTTCTATTCATTGTCCTCTTACTATTGATTTAAAAAATTTTTTTTAATTTTTAAAATTTTTTAAATTTGCTTTTGGAAATTCTTTGTGGAGTTGATGTTTTAATAACTTTTTGTTTGTTATTAACAACAGATTGCCAAAATAAGGAGCATTTAAATAATTAGTTTTCCACTTAATCATAGGAAATTCTTTTCTCTTTTTAGATTTTTTGCTTTTATTAGTGTTCTCAAATAATACTCAATTCCCATCTCAGCTTTCCTTCTTTCAACTGCTTCCTCTGTTATCATAAAAATCACAATTTTATTAATTATTCCAGGACACTCTTGATATAAGATTCAGTAATAGCAGGAGAATTAAAGATCTTTGGTATGATGATGTTTCTCCAAGTAACTGTCTTAGAATTAAGAGGATGACTTTGGATTGACTTTAAGTCTTGATAAGATTCTTTGTCCTTGGTTAATTTATGAAGTAAGCCAAAACTATAAAGTTACCCTGAGTGTAAATAACTGGGCAGAGGACTGATTATGCCAGATGATTTCTGACAGATGCAATCACCATATTTATTTCTCATACTACTTCATTTCTGATATTAACCATCACTACAAAGTATTTATAGAAAATTAACAGGACATCTTATGACTTAGTGTAAATGGTTAGACAACATGGCAACAACTCAGAGAAATCTAATACATTGCCCTGAGTTCAATCAAACTGAGAAAACACCGTTTAAAAGTTCAGCAAGAAGGCCTGGGGGAAGAATAACTTACTTGCTAGGTGCTCGATCTTGCAAATTAGTTAATGCAGCAAAGTTGTTTCGTACAGTTCGCAGGCTGGCCAAGACCTACAACAAAAAGGGATTCTTTAAGCTACTTGGAATACAGCCATTTTTAGTGCAATTTAAAATGGCTTGGTGATTTAAAAAATAGTCTGTTAAGTGAAAACCTGATAATACTTTCAACCTAGTTTCATATACCACTGAAGAATCTTCTAGCCCTTAGTGAAGTTTACATCTATCTATTTGAAATCTAGGAAGGCCTGATTGCAAAGATTTTCCAGACATTTCTCCTCATTGTCTATGACTATGGTGACAGAAGCAACAGTTTTCACAATATTCCCAGGCAATATACATAGAGCATTGTTAAATTTAGTGCAAATTTTAAATAGTATAATATAAAATAATAATAAACTCTTACTTTAAGGGTTAAAATTATAAATATATATATATATCACCAAATTCTCCTCAAATATTGACCAAGAATGTCAGACTTCCCAAAAGAGAAAGCAAGGTGAACTTAAAATTTTTTTTCACCTTTGCTACATGGCTATCTAATAAAAAGAAATTATTTTCTTTGTTAAGGTTATTTGAATCATTAACTATAAGATTCTTAGGGATGCATTTTCACATAAAACAGGACCACCCTGATGTGCACAGAGGTGAGCCCATAGAAGATACTAAAAACAATGTGTTGAATAAGTGAATACATAGACACAACACACCTATACACATAAAGCAGGACCAATATGTTCCCCTACTTCTGAAGGTCCTTTTTCTAATTCTAGTGAAAATAGAAGGTGGCAAAAGAACTGGAAGTAAGACTAGGGGAGAAAATTTACAAAGGCTTTTCTTGCCTCCCTTTCCACTAAAATGGGCAAGTTTCCCCCAGGGTGGAGTCTATATTGAGGCTATAATTAATCTGGGTGACAATGATAATGTTGAAGTTGCACTAAAACATAGATTTCAAATGTCCCATTAGGTAGTACATAACAACCCAGACTACCTGACTTTGTTATGTATTCGCTGTGTGAACTTAGACAAATTACATAATCTCTGTGTGCCTCAGTTTCCTTTTCTATAACCCGAGATAAGGATAGCTATCTCTGAGGGTTGTTGTGAAGATGATATGAAATGATAAGTGCCAAGACAGTGTCTGGCAAACAGAAAGCACTCAGTGAACATTAGCCCATTATGGCAACATGCCATCTGATTAATGATCTGGTGCATGCATAGGGTGTTTACTTATGCCTATCATTGGTTAAAAAAAGGGGGGGGTGAGGAATGCAAATTTATAATTGCTCCAAGTGTTCCAGAATTATACCCAGAATGTTTTCATCTGGCACTGACTTAGACTAAAGGCGGCCTAAATATTTTTCTAAGACAAAAATGTCTCAGACATTTCTGAAACTGACCTTATTTTTTATACGTCACTGGGATGCTGTTTGCACCCTAGGATGGTGACCTCCATCATTATCCCCTGAAGGAGTTAATGGTGTTTCCTGAGGTGCCAACCATGATTAACTCAGGCACTGGAAAAACCTAGCTCATTATCACATATAAACAACTCACAGCTCTGAAAGGTCATGCTGCCTATGACGGAGTATTCAAATAGCCAACTGTTGACATCAGAGCACACTGTCTTTCATAAGGTATGAAGTCTTGAATGATGCAGAAATAAATCTGATAAATGATCACTGTCATTAAGTCATGCAAGCCTAATTTATGCTTTAAGAATTGAATACCAAATACACTAATAAAACATTTTAAATAAGATTATTGCACCCTCTAAGTGCTCCTTTTTCTAGGCAAAATTTAACCTCAGAATTCTGAGAACTAGGTTCTAAGAAATTATACTAAGTGCACTACACTTGGTACCTAAGTAAATAGAAATAGTGCTGCAGGTAATTCAAGTTCTCTGCTCATTTGAAAGGAAACATTAGTTCATGAAAGTTATACTATAATTGGGGCACCTGGGTGGCTCAGTGGGTTAAAGCCTCTGCCTTCGGCTCAGGTCATGATCCCAGGGTCCTGGGATCGAGCCCCACATCGGGCTCTCTGCTCGGCGGGGAGCCTGCTTCCTCCTCTCTCTCTCTCTGCCTGCCTCTCTGCCTACTTGTGATCTCTGTCTGTCAAATAAATAAATAAAATATTTAAAAAAAAAAAAAGTTATACTATAATTGTTTTCTGACTGTTATAATAAAATATTAAACCAGATTACTTTATTTCAGTTTTTAATTTAGATTTGATGTATTTCTTTTGCATAATCTATATCTTCATGTGGTACAGAATTTAAACAATAAAAAGGTAGAATGTAGAACATATTCCCCTCATTAAAAAAAGACAAAACCCCAAATTATTGTTATTTGTGAGAGGAAGCAGATAGATGAAATCAGGGAAGTATGCTCTGGGGTATTAAAAATATTGGTACTGTTCTATTTCTTTAACTGTTGATTTTAGTGTTCTTTATATTTTAAGATAGTCACTAGATATATTCTCTTACATGTATGAAGAATTTCCAAGTAAAAAGTGAAAAAAGAAATTTCCTCCCCAGCCCCTCCCTCTAGGCATTCAACTGCCTGTCCCCTCTACCAACTGACTTTTAAGTTGTCTCCTAAAGTTTCCTTTACAAGCACTGCTGCAATAAATAACTTTGTAAATCCATCATCCCTTATGTGGGTAAGTATTAGACCACTGTTTTTGTGAAAGTCAAATAATACTCTATAAGTTTTATATTAAGGATGATTAGATCCTGCACTATGGCACACATATGATAATGGCAGAAGTGTAAATTAAAGTTCCAGACCAGAGGCACCTGGGTGGCTCAGTTGATTAGGCATCGACTCTTGGTTTCTGCTCAGGTCCTGATCTCAGGGTGGAGGGATGCAGTCCCTCCAAGCGCTCTGAGCTCAGCACAGAGCCAGCTTGGGATCCTCTCCCTCTGCCTGCCACCATCACCACGGCTCCCATACCCACCCTGGTTCGGACATGCCCATTCTCTCTCTCAAATAAATAAGTAAAAATATATATTTTTTTTAAGTTCCAGACAAATGTTATGGAAAACATTACCCTAAATTTAGTTGATTGATTCTAGGTTGCTACATCACCAAAGCACTGATTTCGTCTTTCACGCTTTCACTTGTCTTGCAGACTACAGAGTAAGGCATCTGGTTCTATATGCTATGGGAGAGAACTGCAAGCAGTTTTACTCAAGCCCTTGAGTCAGGATTTAATTATTCTTTTCTTTTGCCATAGGGCAGTTCTCACTCCCCTTGAATTCAACCTCTTAAGAACTATAGTCAGGGCTTTAAAATTCCTATACTTTTATCCACTCCTAAATGCTTGCTAACCAAAAAGAACATTGAGGCTTTCCCTTATACAGCTCAATGGTTAGAAAATTAAGGCTATTTCTTTCTCTTTGGCCACTCCAAGCAAAAGTGTAATCAGTCAAGGTCAAAAATGCGCTTGAAATGATGAGAAATATACACACTTTAAGAAAGAAATCATGATGGTGCTATGGAAAACTGGCAGAGATGGGTCATGTACTGGCTCGGGGCAAGGATTAAATGTTCTTTACACACACACGTCTCAGATTTTCTTAAATACTTTTAACATTTATCAGCCAATAAGATTCACCGAAAGTAACAGAACAAAGTCGGCTTCATTGAAAAGTTAAACAACTGAACATAGAGCCCAAACGCAATGTATGCTTCTATAGTAATCATTACTCGAACAGATTTAAAGAGGAGACTGCTGTCAACAAACAAAAAAGATGTGGCAACAACATTCTTTTTAAAAACCCCTACTTATGGGGCACCTGGGTGGCTCAGTGGGTTAAAGCCTCTGCCTTCGGCTCGGGTCATGATCCCAGAGTCCTGGGATCGAGCCCCACATCGGGCTCTCTGTTCGGCAGGGAGCCTGCTTCCTCCTCTCTCTCTCTGCCTGCCTCTCTGCCTACTTGTGATCTCTGTCTGTCAAATAAATAAAATCTTAAAAAAAAAAAAAAAACCTACTTAAAGAGTAAACAAAGAATTTTGAGAATTGTTTTTCATTACAAATACACTTCAGGTCACTAGATGGTGCTAAAACACAGACCAAGAGTTGCCACTGGCGCTGGGGGAAAGGAGAAAGAGGAAGAATTCCTAGTCTCGGTTTTAGTCCAGAAAAACAAAAACGAAAACAAAAACAAAACAAGCAAACAACAACAATAACCAAAAAATGGAGTCAAATTATGATTACTTAGAAGATAGGTCATTTTGACAGAAACCTTTCCAAGTTACGTTTTGGTTAAACTGTATGAAATTGCTCTTCTTGTATGTAAACAAAGGTTGAATACTGATTATTTCATATAGTTCAATCTAAAAAGTACTATGATTAACAGAAGATGCTAGCTGTTAAGATCCAAGGAGAAACTAACAGAAGCAACTGAAATGTGATAACCAGCTTCCAGCGGGGGGCGCCTGGTGGCTCCATCAACCTGGAGATTGAGATGCGGCCACAAGGTGGGGGCTGCTAGGTGAAATGGGGCAGGTATTTAAAAAACACGGGCAATGTTCTATTACCAAATGGAATAATAGTGTTCTATAGTGTTAAAGGCTAGTACATTTTTTTACAAAATTATCCCAGACGCTGTATTTTGATTAATGTTAAAATGACTCATATGTTTTTACCCTGTAGACTTAAATCAGGCCTATCTCCTTAGTTTGAATAACATGAGGCTTCTCCAGGGATCCAAGAAAATAGTTGGGTATTTTCTGTCTCTTTCTCAGTCAGATATTCCACTTCTTTTAACAGTCAATACTTCAAGATGAGAATTTTAAGTGACTTATAGTTTCACAAGGTAGTCATATCACATATTTGGGTGGGTGTGGCCAGAGGCAACTAATTACAAAGCAGAGTCTCCGGCATTTCATCAGTGTCGAGACCTGCTGGTATTCCTGAATCCCCCTAATGAGCTCTGGCCAAACTGTTACTATATTTTTAGGAGGAAAAGGCCAATTGTGCAGCAGCATGACCTGGCATGGCACTGGGATTCCTCTCTATACCTAGCCTTGGTGCCTAAGGAAATCCCCACACCAAAAGATTTCAACAAAAACAATTTCAAAATGGAACTAAATCACATCTACAAAAATGTCACTTTTTTGAGGACCAAAAGGATTCTGAGCTTATGGGGGAAACATATGAAGTTGGAAGTGGCAAATAGTGTGGGTTAAACACCAGCAAGAATTTCTTACCCTGACAGTGTCGGAGACATGGGAACACGACCTGAAGCAGGGTCGTAAGACCCTTTCTGAAGATGACATCTATCCTGGATGGGTTAGGGCTCAGCCCTGTCCATCAAATTGGATGTCTTTCTAAATTCTCTTATAACAAGATTCTGTTCTCTTAGCTTTACAGGAAACCATGACTAGGTTAAAAAAAAAACCAAAACAAAACCAGGGAGGGATTCAAAATGTCAATACTAGTTATTTGGGAAGTTGCAATTATGAGAAATTTTCATTTTCTTCCTTTTCCTTTTATTTTTTTCTAAACTTTTTTATGGAAAAAAATTCTATTCTGAAAGAAGTTTGTCTTTTTTAAAATACATTTTTAAAAATTTATTTTAGAGAAAGAAAGAATGGAAGTAGAGGCAGAGGCAGAAAAAAATATAAAAGACTAGATTTCCTACAAATTTAAGACCATTGATGGTAAGGACAAAATCAAATTTATTAATCTATTTATTAGAGAAAAAAATCTATCAAATAAAAGTATTTATTATTACTTAAGAAATAATACCTGAAGTAAGAGATAAGTATCATGCAGATTTTTTTCATTTTTTACTATATATTTAGATATATGTATATATATTTTTTTCTTATAACAATATCTAGAGATTTTACTTAGAAGTAAAAATAACTACCTGAATAAACTGTAGTTGGAATGATTATTTCTATGTTTGGTGATGGTTACTTATGTTATTTTTCCTGATTTTAACTGGTCACCCAGCTCTCAGTTCTTAGAAATAAAAATTATGGATCCTCAATAGTAATCAATTAAAAAATCTCTAAATTTGTGTGATCTTATTATCCTAAAATGTGATTAGAACTTTGAAGAGTTGTAAATGTTTCTGAACATAGAAATATAGGTACTAGAAAGAATTTATGATTTCCAGCAAAATCGTAAGCAAACAAAACAGTAACTTCTAAAAAATATGGTGGTCAGATTCTATCTCTAATTGCCTACAGTAATGAAAAAAATCACTTTTATATGGTGTTTATTTATGGATTCATTAAGTTTTTGGTCTGAATTATAGCAATCACAAAATTTCAGGAAATTTGAAAAAGGCGAAGAATTATACACAATCCTATTATCCAAACACTGCCAGTATGTATCTAAAAAACAACCCATTATAACATTTTTGAGATGAAACAGCTCTTAACTAATTACAACACTTAAAACTCATCTTGTTTTCTAGAAATTGTGCTGAGCATTTCACAAGCTTGGTATTATTTTAAGATTTTATAAACCTTATGAAGTAAGTTCTCTTGGGACTTTCATTTAGGAGAGGAGTATAAACCAGGCTTGAAAAAGTTCAGCGACTTGCCCAAGGTCATTCACTGAGCAAGAGGAAGAGATAAGGTTTGAACAGACATCTACCTTTATCCAGGCCAAGTCGTCTAATTTTACCAGTTGAAAAAAGAAGTTGTAGAGAAGTTAAATGAGCTACCTGAGGCACTAGAACTAGTTGTTTTTTTTTTTATGATTTTATTTATTTATTTGACAGAGAGAGATCATAAGTAGACAGAGAGGCAGGCAGAGACAGAGAGAGAGAGGGAAGCAGGCTCCCTGTCAAGCAGAGAGCCTGATGTGGGGCTCGATCCCAGGACCCCGAGATCATGACCTGAGCTGAAGGCAGCGGCTTAACCCACTGAGCCACCCAGGCGCCCCTAGAACTAGTTTTTTTTTAATATTTTATTTATTTATTTGTTAGAGAGAGAGAGAGAGAGAGAGCATGAGCACAGGCAGACAGAGTGGTAGGCAGAGGCAGAGGGAGAAGCAGGCTCCCCGCTGAGCAAGGAGCCCGATGTGGGACTCGATCCCAGGACGCTGGGATCATGACCTGAGCCGAAGGCAGCCGCTTAACCAACTGAGCCACCCAGGCGTCCCTAGAACTAGTTTTGATTATGATTATGGTTAGCCTTGATTACCATTTTTATAATCTGTCTGGATCACTTGTAACCTAATATTCAACATTTCTTTTTAGAGTTAGTATTTATATCCCAGTTAAATCAGTAATATCCCGTCCTGTTCCCATCTACCTATACCAATGTCTCTCAACTTTTCCTGGAAAAATACTGGTCATTTAAAAAGTACAGGTGCTTGGATCCAACCCCCAAATGTTTGAATTCCATTGATCAGGGATATGGCCTGGGATAACAGCCTTCTAGGTGATTCTTATGTGCAGCTAGGGTGCCAAAGCACTGGCCTATACAAAGACTATCTGCCTATCAACCATTTTATACATACTCTAAATGCTTTAGATTGTTTTATCACCTTCTAGAACTTATGTTATGTGGTTAAGGTATTTTCATGATTTGTATGCCTAAAAGGAACAAATTAAGATAAATTTAAATCTGTACAAATGACACGTAAAAAAGGAGTAAATAAAGCATCAGGGTGAACTGAAATATTAAATTTCAAGCCCTGATCATGTATTTAATTATACTAAATGTAATTTAACCCACAATATAGCTCTCTGCTTCCAGTGTTTATATTAGTTAAGGAAATATGGTTGCATTTAAATTTATCACTTAGGTAATTTGTAATCTGAAGCAAAGACGTTCTTTGGGTCTATGGGTTTATAGGAAACAGTCCAATATGGTTAAGGTCACATTCTCTAGCATTGCCTTTGAATTACTTAAATGAACCACAGAATTTTTATTTGCATTTGCATCTGACTTAAAATGAAATTAAGAACCAGAACTAATCCCCTATATTAAATTTCCACATCTGTGAGAAACCTGCCCATTCACCAAACCGTGCTTACCTGAGCAAACGGAGTCACAATCAAGTCATCTCCATGTCTGAAAAACAAACCAAACCTCATGTTAGAAATTATGATAACTCTGTGACCACTTTTGATCAGTACTAAATAATAAATTGCACTATCATAAATTTCCATAGAGAATTAGAGAATTGAGAATTGAGTTCTTCAACACATGTTATTCCCAGCCAGTGGGTTGAAAAACTGTCTTTGGGGATGTTAACCATTGTCCATCTGCCTGGGCTAAAAGGGGCTTCTTGAACATCAAGCAAGGTTACTGTTACTTATTACGTGCACAGGATATACAACAATAGAAACAGAGTCCCAGCTGCATGTCCTGAGTTTTACTCGTGACTTATTATCGTAGATGATCTTATCTTATCATCTCTTAGTAAGAGATGCTGTGGAAGGAGCTAGCAACTGCAGGGGCCTCAGTGAGAGGGCCCTGGACCATCTAACATTTGAAGGTGATGAGCATCGAGTGTTCCGCATCACGGTGTTTGAGTTTGGACAGGCTAGCAACTGCAGAGGACACGGGACTGCATCATACACTAATAAAAACCCGGCAAAACTTTTCAACTGACTCATGTCCAGCTGCTGTAGCTAATAGGGCAATGTTACCCGGTGTGTGCTGTTGCTGCAGCAATGTTGGCCACACCAAGCCTGGGATACAGGAGCAAGGTGTCAGCATGACGTGTCTCAGAGAAACCGGGAAAGGCAAGGAAGGTTGTGCAACATTCTACTTGGGGGAAAGTGAGGAACTGGGGCCCAGAGTTCTTTCGTGGTATTTCTTAGCATGGGTGACTCGTGAGAAACATTTCCAAAATTTCCATGGGGTATTTTGTGATCTGGCTAGCTGAAGCTCTTTCACCAAAAATGAATGTAATTACACAGAAAGCTTCCTGACATGACTGAGAGCATTGCAACTGAACTGTGCACTCAGTCATGAACAATTCTGGAAAGGACTGAACGACCTCAAACACCACCCATGAAATATGTTTTAGCACAAGCAGCATATGGGTGACGTCAGTACACGGATCGTTACCAATGATTAGACCATTCGTTATGGCCATCATCAAATTACGCAGAGATCTTGAAATTCAAAGTGTGGGAAAATAAAAAGCAGGAAATGTCGGAGCACACTTTAAAGGAAACGTGCTATTTTGCACTCCTTCGCTCCAGGATTACATTTGGGGGAGCGGTATGGTAACTGATTTTTCTGTAGATTATTCAGATGGTCAAAATTAAAGTAATATGAAATCTAGATGTTTTCCCAAGTGACAGTCTTTTCTTCCACTTCATTCTTTATAATTGCCTGCTTACAAAGTTTATTTTCTAAGAATTAAGTTATGCTGACCAAGGCACACTGCTAAGCTGAAACTGATCCCTAGAAATAAGTTTCATTTTTTACATGAATTACATTGGATGACTCTAAACTAAAAAAGGTGTGAATGCTTATTAAAACATGAATTCTTTCTTTGATTGTATTTTACTCCTAAATTCTGTAAAATATATATTTAGAACATAAAATATTTAGGATGATTTACCAGGCTTGCTTCCCTTCCCTGTCAAAGCAGAAAGAAAGACCATTATACTTTATTTTTTTAGATTGATTGATTGATTGATTGATTTATTACACAGAGAGAGATCACAAGTAGGCGGAGAGGCAGGCAGAGAGAGGGGGAAGCAGGCTCCCCGCTGAGCAGAGAACCCGATGTGGGGCTTGATCCCAGGACCCTGAGTCCATGACCTGAGCCGAAGGCAGAGGCTTAACCCTCTGAGCCACCCAGGCGCCCCGAAAGACCATTATACTTTTAATCATGGAGATACTTCATTCCTCAGAAATTGTTTTTGCCAAATATCTCGACTGTCTCATTTCAGGAACAGTAAAATTATTTCTACTCTTCCAATGGGCATATGTCCTCAATCGAGGGCAAGTTATATCCTATCCTTCTCTTTTCAAAATGATATAATGCTTAAGTAATCTTTGAATATACGACAAATATATAGGTATTTATTTGTTGTATATACATATGTCGTATATATATGTCGTATATATACATATTTATATGTATATATGGAGAGGATTATATAGTATTATCTCTCATTTATGTAAAAATCAAACAAATATAGCAACAACAAACTTTAACAAAAAAGGAAGAGGAACTGCTTTAAGGGAAGAAAATAGCTTTTGGAGGGGATTGGTATATTCATAGGGACAGGTGGGAAGGGAGTCATATGGGATGAGGGGTGAGATCAGAAAAGAGGCTCCATTTTGGACATTGTATGTATGTATGCATGTGTATATGTGTGTGCACGTGCATGCATGCGTGTGTGTGTGTGTGTGTGTGTGTGTGTGTGTGTAGTATGTATGCATGCATGCATGTGGGCAATGAGGTCATTTGTACCCAGGTAACAGTCACAGCAGTCAGTGCCAGTCACCTCCAGTCTCATGATGTGGAAGGAGGTTCTCAATAGCCCGCCCTGGCTACCACAGATTGAAACAGAATCTCCCAGTCTAGGTAGGGAGGGCTGGCTGTCCCCTCTCCCAAGAACTTGCTCAGTGTGCACTGTTGAATTTTTCCCCCAAAAAAGTAATGACAGTGAGAGTCAAGAACTACTTTCTGGGCCTTTGGCCATCCTTCCCCTACTTCTGTATCACTTACTACTTTATTTTCTGCCCTCATTCTTCCTACAATAAGAAGCCAGAAACATTAGCAAAAAGCTGAAGGAAAAAACCCAAAAGCAAACCCTCACAGAGATTTCACTGGGATCCGGAAACTATTCGAGTCCTTAATTGTGGCAAAGCCCCTGGTCATCTAACAAAATGAATCCAACCAACAGCAGCAGCAGTAAACTAGCTCATTTCAAAATTGTGTTGAAGCACGCAAGGCCGCCACCTCTCCACACTTCATGATGGCCAAAGTAGAAGGAAAAGCAGATGACGTTATTCAGAAGAAAGTTTTAGTGCTCGCTTCGGCAGCACATATACTAAAATCAGAAGAAAGTTTTACTTTATTAACCAAAGACCCCCTAATCCTCTGATACCAAAAGCACTAAGGGCCATGAAGTCCCGACTGCCACTGAAGACTATGCCCGGCAGTGACAGCCAGCAGGACAAGCAGTTGGATGAAAAAGCACGTCTGACGCAAAGCTGAAGGCTTAATTCCTGAACTGAATCTCATGCAGACTTGTAGGTCTTCCGTGCTTCACTCGGTCTGGCTCTAAAACTAGAAAGAAATTCTCCCCTGGAGTTTGTCAGAGAGGATTAGGGATCGGATAAACTTACAGATGACTGGGTGTTCTGAAATCCTGGTGTCTTTCTTCCCTTTGACTCAAAACTATCTCCCATTCCCCAACTCACCCTTGATCCACCTCTTCTGGAATGGTAGAGAAACAAGTATGTTCTCATTTCTAGAGTGTACATAAAAATGTTTCTGAACACCTAGGCTATCTGACAACCCCGGAGAATTAGCCACAGGAGGAATGCATCTACTCACCCCTCTACGCCCATATTCACGGAAGTACAGACATATAAAATACACAAACAAATATGGAAACAGATTTCTATACTTGACCTTTTAAAAAACCAATATGTATATTTTGCATGTAAATCACATATTAACTGAAAAACTTTGGAAAATACAAAAAAAAATCCTTGCAGAACTACTCAAAAATAACTGTCAATAACATTTTTCTTCCGGATGCATGTAAGCACATGTGTGTTAGATATGATTTTTGTGGAAAGCAGGATTTCTTACACAATTAGAATCATACTGTGTATTGCACTTTATATCTTGCTTTTAACATTAAACATATTGAGTCCTGAAAAACTGTATAAGCCTTCATACTTTTAAAACACTTTTAATGATTTCAGTCTATATTTAATAATCTCTAAATTTTCCAAGTAGATATCAATCCAAATTTCTTAAAATCTAAGTGCTGATTCTATTTTAAAATTAAAACAATTTTAAATAATGTATGAATACTCAAACTCATTTCAGTTCTTCATTCCTTTAAGAACAACTCACTAAAGAAAAGTGTGTTTATTTTGATAAAAAATTCATAAGATAAAGCTAAATATTAAAATAGTACATGAAGAATTGGGTTCACTGAGTACAGATTCATAGAGATGTTGAATATTTTATGTTGTTACCCTTTTAAATTAAAATCACAAAACTATGATTTCAGACAATAAAGGTATTATAGAAAATATAGTTCCCAAGTACATTTTGTGAAACTAAATTATATTTTTCCATAGATATCATTTTTTTTTGTTTTTTGTTTTTTGGGTTTTTTTTTTTAAAGAGTTTATTTATTTATTCAACAGACAGAGATCACAAGTGGGCAGAGAGGCAGGCAGAGAGAGAGGGGGGAGCAGGCTCCCTGCTGAGCAGACAGCCCGATGTGGGGCTCAATACCAGGACCCTGGGATCATGACCTGAGCCGAAGGCAGAGGCTTTAACCCACTGAGCCACCCAGGCACCCCAAATAAATAAAATCTTAAAACAAAAAAGAATATAATGATCCCTTTAAAATTACTTATGAAGAAGACATTATGATTTTGGTAAACTCCCAGTGGACATTATACCACTAAAACAAACAAACAAAAAAATGTGCTTCATTTGTATCAGATTCACCTGATGATATTGCTCCTCTGTATCACTTGGCCTTTTAATTTAGAACTGGCTCCACTCTAAGCCAAACAAAAAAAAAGGTAAGTAGTACCCAATTTATGGAACCCCAAAGAATGAAGTTCCTTTGTAACAAAACCAACCTCTGCCAGACCTGAATCTGATTTTCCTCTTTGAAGCTACTGCCATATAGAATTCAGGTAGTCCATTACCACAAAACTTGGTCCTGTGGTCAAAAGTCACAACTACTAAAACTTGCATTTTGGCAGGAATGCTCAACATTTTACTGAGAACCCAAAATAATGTAAATTAGTATAAAGGTAAAATTAAAGCTGTTCAATATTGTATAAGGTAGTATCTTCCAATTAGAATTTTTTCAGTGTCAAATTTCAAGCCATGTTTATAT